TGTTCGCATACGAACGAACGAACGAGCGCTCGTTGACCGCTCTGCATACATGCCATACGTAAAACGGAATCAACTTAGCGTGAAGTTTATTCATACAACCGTATTATCTAAAAGGTGTAAAATTGAGCACGCAAGTGCGGATAATCTTTTTTTTACTCATTGTTATTATTATTTTATTCACGAAATCAAGTCATGCGTTATTGCTATTTTTTATACAGTGTGTTTTTGTGTATGCATATATTAATTTTTTGTTGCTTTATTGTAAATCATCCAAATAATTAGTGTGGCTTCAATAATATCTTATCGTTGCTTCATTTGAAAATGTAAGTTGAAAAATTTCCATATTCAACAATTTACAAGTTAAGCATTCGTAAGCACTACTACTGTCAGTTCTCAAGACTTGCCACGATCGCGTTGTAAATGGAGAAAGTGGGAAATAAAACTTAATCGTACAAGTTCACACGAGTGTAATTATGAAAACACTAAAAGGCGTATCGATAGAAATGAAATGGAAAACAATTGTAACTATTTCAACAAAAACATCTATCGAATGTGGAAGTAAGTTTAGGAAATTGCTCGTACCAATGCGTATGAGTGTTTTCATGATACTAATATTGTGACGCTATATCAATTGAATTTGTGCTTTTAATAAACATTTGCCGACTTAATTGGATTAATATGAAAAAAAAAAACAATTCTTTACCTGAATTAGCTCCATCACGGAAGACTTTTGGCTGATGACGATAGCTTAAAAAGTATTGCACATGCATCATCTCATGATGAACTGTGATTAAGTCTTTGTGATTAACATTCGTGCACATTTTTATGCTAAATGTATGGAGAAAATTGAATATATGACTGATAAAAACCGTAGATAATAAGTGGTTAGAAGAAATTTACCGGTAAGTTTCCCGATTACAAAAGTCCCATGCTGATGGTTGACACAACAATTGTCGATCTGGTGGAGGTTTCTCTAATACGGACTCGAGCCAAAAATCAGTAGGCAAAGCAGTTAAATTCAAACTCAGGAAGAACTCTGTTTGGACACGTTTTTCAAATTATTTTTTGAATCTTAAAAGCATAAAAATCATTTCGATCCAAATCAAATAAATCTAATATGAAGAATTAAAAAAAAATTACCTTCCGCGATTTGAAACATGACTTGAGGAGTGTAACCTTGTTCACGCATTTCTCGTGTTACGTCAACGAAACTTCGTCCAGGAAATGGTATTGTTATGTCCATAATATTAGTCCACGTTTGAGCATACATATTGCCCAGAACGTGATCGGGAAGTGGTGCATTTCGACTTATTCTGTTGGGACCATAATATTCACGTAATTTTCTACGGACATATGCATGAATTAGTTCGTATAATGGCATAACTTCATTCCACACCGTTTCCATATCTTGTCGTATGTTGTATGATTCAAATGGGAAGGTCCAGTACTCAGCCGCGTTGCTGAAATCTTTGATAACAATTGGCAAATTGTAAGCAGTTCTATTTGAAAAGAAGAAGAAACAATTCTTGCTTACTATTATAATTTGCAGCATCATTTGTCAAATCAACCAATTGCTCGTACAGTTCTTTCATATTTTCGCCAGACTTTCGCCGCCATTCTCCCCAAACATAAAGTAGTTCATCCCAATCACGACCGCGAGCCATGATTTCTTTTAGATCCGGATATAATTTTAGTCCACAATCAAAGGGTTTATCGAATGCACAAATTTGTGCTTTGTTGTAAATTGCCAACATGTCATTTATTATCCTATTATACTGCGTATAAAATTGTATTGGATGGATTTATTTTGAACAAAATAAGATTTTGGTAATTTCACATTGGTAACTGATTGATTTTCGTGGACTGATAATATTGAAAATCTATCGTGAAACACTGTGCAAATATTTACCAAAACCAGACATTCGGTGCTGCCTAATATCGAGCGCGGCTCTTGTATCCGCAGTCAGCTATTTCTCGCAGTTTTACATTGCCAATACATTTCCTAATGGAAATTTTGGTTTTGTTAATTTTTTTTTGTAAACAAATCTGCCTAACTTTTTGCATTGCCTCTACACACTTCTTACACTAGCCGACAGTATTTTAGGTCCAGAGATGTGGCTAGTATATTTTGAAAGGGCTCGGCCGCG